CACACACACACACACACACACACACACACACACACGTCTTAACTTTCTTCTCAAATAGTTCCTACTCATTGCACAGGGCTCCTCCCCATATCAACCATTTCCCTGGGTACGACTCAGGCATTCACTTGCATACAACTGGATATTTGAAAGACAAAGGGACAGTCCAGCAAAACAGAAAAATATGAATAAAATAATGACCTTTTTCTTTTGGATGACCTAATTCTGTAATATATGAAGTTTAAAACCAGCTTAATAAATGGAGGGGGTGAGAGCAAATCCCAAAATGCAGCATCTGTGTGAAAGAAGGACCCACCTACTTGGACTGAATGAACTACACTCGGGTCTCTCTTTACGTGAAGTCATTTTGTGCAAATTCACTTATATGCGACGACCTTATTTATACCAGAAATGTGCTTTTGCCAGAAAAATCCCATCTTATGCGAAGTCGGCTGGCAATGAGCTCCCTGCAGGCTGGCAGAGTTCCAGCTTGCAGGGAGCTGTGAGGAAGTGGAAAGAAGGTGGCAAGACGGGGGCGCCACGTGCATGTACAGGACGTGCACATGGCCCCAAGTAGCTTCAAGGGCAGCTCCGGCATGTAAGGGGAGGGGGCGGAAAAGGGAGATTGAGGCCTCTGTAGAGAGGGAGCTGGGCAGGGCTGGGGCTGCTGTCCAGCCGAGGGGGTGCTTGGGGCCCAGGGCTGCAGTGTGCAGCTGCAGGGCCCCTGCAGAGAGCAGGACAGAGCCTCCAGTGGCTCATTGGAGAAGGTGCTCGCCGCATGAGGCCTTGGCGAAGCAACCACTGCGTGAGCCGCTGCTTGCAGCGTGGGCCAAACGCCTTCTCTGCATAGCCCCGCTGCTCCCCGTTTCCCTGCCCTCGAGCCTCTGCAACCCAGCGGGCATGACCCAGGGCACAGGGGACCTCGTAGCCTCTCTGTACAGCCCCACTGTTTTCAGCCACACCAGGTCACACCTGGCTGGATGGAAAGGCACCCAGGGCAGGGAAGCAGGGCATTGCCTGCCACCCTGCTTCCCTCCCCCGGGTGTCTTTCCAGCCCACCCTGCACGTGCTGCTGCTTGCAGCGTGGAGCTTGCAGCCTCTCCATGCAGCAGTTACTGTATTGTGTGATTACTGTTTGAATTTGTCATGGTTTGGGGGGGCAGTAGAGTGAGGCTGGTACGTATCCCTATTAATTACACGTAATAATGGATTTGCTTTATGCAAATTCGCTTTATCCAACAGTTTTTTGGAACGCAACCTGTGCATTAAGAGAGACCCGAGTGTAGTAAGCTATCTCCTCTCCGCGTATTGGGTGCTCATGAGGCTATATTACCTGTAGACTCCACACCTAGCCCTAGTAACAAGGGGGGCATGAGGGAAGGGATGTTACAAGTTTGCATTATTGCAAAGGGGGGAGGTAAACATGAAGATAATGCTCATCTTGCAATAATAGCATTGCAAACACTGAGATATTTTTTATTTACAACTTCACTTAAGGATCTAGCCCCTAAACATGATGGTTAAATAAGATAGCTAGGTCTCAGCTTGCTTTATTAAAAGTTAAGGAAGTTTCTCTCTCTCCAGACCGTAGAAAGTATCAAAAAACAGCCTAAATGCTCAAAAACGAGAAGGTAAAAATAAACCCAAAATGTATTTAAAAACCTTGATGGTTTTTAAGCTGATGTCATGATACTTTAATTAGGAACTTGACTCCTTAATGTTAGCAATTCTGCAAAAGTAATATTTTCCAAAAGACTTGGCCCCTTCTTTAAGAAACATAATACAATCCCTGTCTCCTTGTTACTTATCAGAAAGCCTGAAGGCTTAAGCAGCCGATAGACAGGAGCCATCTGCTTCTCTACATGCGGTGTAGCACAGTGTCACCAGAAAGTGTGATTTGAAACCAATTCACATTGAATGGGTACAAAAGGTTGTTTTAACACTATTATGTCAATACCTGCAATATCTAGCAATTCAATTTTCCCCCAAGCCACGTTTGAATTCAAAGAGCATCAACTGGTCTTTCATTACCCTCTGCTGGTCACGGCCTGACAATGCAATAATAATGCAGCTGCACCTGATGACCTTTGCTGCAGCACATCTGTTACTGGAAGATTCACCAGTAAGGAGTATGCTGTGCTTGCAGGGCTGTGGGGCTGGGCTTGCTAATCAGCCCAGTGTGATTATGGAACAGGTTAGGGTGGTGACAGCTGAAAACCCTTCTGTGATTTCTGAGCATTAACGAAGAAACTTCTGTTCCTCAGGTGGGAAAAGCATTTGTACTGTTGTGACGCAAGGTTCATGTATTCCCAGAAAGGAGAGGTGACTTGGGGAGAGGGACTTCTGATACCACCACTGAGTAGATGAAGTCTCTTAATGCAGTGCAGCAGTAGTAGGCATTTGTACAACGATGTGGGTTTAGTAATATGTGAGCATGGGACTATGGAAAATACTTCTTTACAAAGGTGTGCGGGGAGCAGACCGAGCCAGAGTTGTGTGTGCAAGCAGTTGTTGTGCTCCATGTTCATCAAGTTAAACCCCTGCGCTTGTCCCTTCCCTCTCCCCTCAGTCTTTTCCATGGGCGCAGGTGCTCTTCAGATGCAAGTAGCCATTGCTTCTCCCATCAGCGCGGGCACCAACAGCTCTTTCACCCTCAGTTTCTCCAGGAGATTGGCCATCTACATAGTACCTTTGTGTCAGAGCCCGAGAGCACAGCTGCCGTCCTTGGAAACGGGGAGCTTTTCTCTCTTCTTGCCTCTTAATCTTGCTGAGACAGATCTGGTAGAAGATAAGGAACCTCGAAAACATCAGCGTTCCTTCAAGGACTGTTCCCTGTAATGTGAGGGTTGCTACGAGGGGTTAAGAAAGTTGTTAAACTGATCAGCTTGTATGACCTAGTGGGAAAGCCAAGACAAATCTTAAGGGCAGGCATACGTGCTTCTGAATGGAGGAACAGATCTTTCTTTAATGAACGGCCTTCACAACAGACAACCGAGTTGGTCACTGGATTCCTTCTACAGTTACAAGTTCTATAAAATCTTCTTTCCTTTCCTGGCTTTAAATGTTGTGTACAGTTATCCCGTGCTTATAAGCAACATGGGTTTCACCCCAAAGATTTCACTGGCAGAAGAAACAGCCTTTTAACACCCAGCAAGGCATAATTAATGTGTAAAAATGTATAGACTATAAGGTGTATAAAGTGTTTTGAGCTCCATGGCTGAAAAACTGCCAAGTACCATTAATTATTATGTCATTTAACAAAAAGAGGTTATGCAGGCAATGAGGATGGGAGGAAGAGGGAATCTAATATTTATGTAATTCAGGCAGAATTTCCTCCTCCAAATGCAGAACAAAGTGTCAGCAGGAAGAGAATTAAACACAGCAAATCAACAGAAGGGGGACCACAACTGTGTATAGCACGAGGAAAAGCAAGTGGAGAAATGCAACCAGATTGTGCAGAGTCAAAAGGATGCATTGTTATATCCTGGCGCTCTAGATGGAGCTCTGGCTGTTGTGCAGGATCTGCTGTAGCTACAGCCTAAGTTAGATGAGGTCCATAGACTTCAGAGAATTATTATACGGTCTCTCTGGAAACCCTGATCTTTTGAGCACCTGGTAGTTCATTTGCATCTCTCCCGACCTCAAGGGCAAGCACTGGCACAGCAAGGTGATGTAGTAGAAAAACTAGAGGTTTATTTTTTAATAAAATACTTCATTACAAAATAACCTTTTTTTCCACCATGCAAAATGACCAAGTATTGCAACCGACCAAGGGAACAGTGTGGTCTTGTGTAGGAATAGGTGCTTCCCTACCCTGCAATAGCCCAAGCAAGGGATGAAGTCACTGCGTATCAGGCTAATTCAGAGTATTGCTTTAAGTGGGCACTGTGCATTTCCTAGTTGGATCTCAGAAAGCCCAGACCTCAGCACTGAGGGTGAGGCTACACATTACAATTAGACCATATCAAGGGCACTTAAAACTGGAGCACCCACACATTAAGTCTCATTAACAAGTGCTAAGTGCCCTCTAGGCCACTTAAAGTTATGCCACTTCTGGTGAGGATCATCTTTGAGCGCTGCTATGTAGCTCAAATTTACCTTAACTTTTGGCTGCTCCATGGAGATAAAACAACTAATTTGCAGTCCTTCTGCATCCAGTAGGTACCACTCCCGGCGGGGACTAGCAGTCCTCTGGGACTCTGCTACCCTGGGCTGACAGCTGGGGACAGCCAGGTAGCATGCGAGTGGGGAGGGGGTGAAAGGGGGCAG